CAAATTTTTCAACTTGGAAGCCAAAAATATGATATCATCATGGGGCACATAATATAGTTAATAATAAATTTGATCGTGGAGATCCTGTGGAGATCCTGTGGAGTTCCTTTTAAACATTGGTATTGATCATGATATTGGTTTAATCAAAAATCTTGAACAATCCTGCGATTTATTGAAAACTTTTTTGCGATATTGATTTTTTCAATATCGGATCCTCAGGGAATGACCACCACAACCACAACCACAAGCACCACCTCCCACCACCACCACCACCAGCAACAACAACAGACAACAAGACAATAATAATAACAACCAAAAACAACCAAAAACAACCAAAACGCAACCACGCAACCACTAAACAACACCAAGATAAAGAGATCGTTGGACAAACTAATTGTTGTGATGTCAAACAGTATCTGTGGAGCAAACAAGGTGCACAGCTCTTATCTGTGAAGGAGGAACAGGACGACGAGGAGTACACAGAGGAAGAGTGGCGTGCATGGTACGCACTGAACGGATGGACTTGGAGCGACGAACAGGCCGATCCGGATCCGGTGGAGCCAGAGCCGGAGCAGTTCGAGCTGGTTGTGACAGATGAAGATGAAGAAGACTACATCCCGCCTGCTGGACCGATCAAGGCAAAACAACGTCCACCGGCGCCTCCAGCTCCATCTTTTCCGCCACCACCTCCGGCCAAGAAGGCCGCAGCGCGGCTCCCTCCTCCACCGCCGCCAGCAGTGCATCCCGTGGTCAACAGGGTGCCAACGCCACCTCTGCCGCCGCCACCGCGGCCGTCTGAACCGCGACCGCCATGGAGGAGTGGATCAGACGTGGCCACGGCACGACGATCCACCTCACCCTCTCCGTCCTCATCGTCCCGACGCGGCTCAGGCTCTGAGACCCGGCAAGGACGCTACGTTCCTGGTGGCCATGGATATCAGTTGGCCTCAGGAGAGTATTCGGCGTGCCTCAGCATAAGAGTTGCAACTCTCTTGAATGTTTATGTTTGTTTTGCGTTGCATCCCCCTGCATGTGTGTTTGTGGTGCTATTGTCAGGAATCAGGGGACAGAAGATACCCAATCTGAAAACACACCTTGTTGCCCTCAGGCGGGGTCTTGGACGAAAACGAGCGCGAAAACGGGGAGGATATGCCGAGCGCATGAAGGGCGAGATGCAGCGGTTGCAGGCTGAGCGTGACCTGGACCACAATGCACTTCGCATGGCGGTGAACCTGTCTGGACACCTCGTCTTGGGAGGTGCTCAGGGTTCTCATGGCGGTCCGCCATTGCCTTCAAGTACGACAGCTGCATCAACATCGAAGGGCTCAGAGCATGGTGATGACAGCAAAGGCAATGCCAGCAAGGGGGGCGGCAAAGGCGGTGGCAAAGGCGGCGGCAAGAAAGGATGCAAGGGCCGCGGGAAGTGATGAGCATCGGATGGTCATCATGCAGGAGCCTTGCGTATACGACCTGTGAGTATGAACTGGATGACATAGCATGTGGTTCACTGATCTATTCTAGCCATAAAGCAACACACGCCTGCAGCTGCTTGGTTGTAGATATATTCCGAGGTGTTACATAGCATCTGTATATGTGTGTTATATGTGTCATATATCTATATGTAAAGAGAGTTATATGGACAATACATACGTATATACATATACTTCACAGCTCCCCCAAGCAGCTGCACAGCTACATCGTCCCAATGAGGATTATGCTATGCATTTGGTGTTGTTGCCTTTGTAGAAGTGATGAAGTCTTGCCAGACTTCGCGCAGTCCGACTTGGCTTGTACCGTTTGTCAACTCAGTTCAACTCACCGCGGCCGTCTTGAGCTGCTGATGGAAAGTTTGACTGCGCAAAGCTGGAAATGTGACAGCTGTTCTCGTCGGCCAGACACGTCAGTGAAGCATGTTAGGTCTCCAGATCTCCAAAAGGGAGAACGAATGTGACAGCAAAACTGATGCTTGTGGTTGTGCTTGGGGGTGGGAGTGGTGGGGCAGCGTGACTGTTGCGCAGTGGTGTTAGTGCTTCTTTCTGAAAGGTTTTGTTGTTTGGTTTGGTTGGAATGACACTGGCAACATGGTGTTCGAATACAATATATCGGGGTGTTGAAGGATAATGATGATGGTTTTCAGAGCAGTTCAGAACATTTTGGTGTTCCCCTAAAACATATAATATATTTAATTTGCGCTTGTTTTGAAGCACTTGTTGATTGGTTTCAGAGTGGAAATTCATCAAAAAAACACACAAAAGACATCACTTCTACAGAAAGGTCACCGGAAAAAATTGGCGAGAGTTACCCCTAGGGGGCTTCCCCATAGAAAGTCTTAAAACTTGCAATCACAGCTCTTATGTCGATCCACACTATTTTGGAATTTTATTTTGTCAATTGACATTATTCTGGTCGGTCAACTTGGCAAACCAATGTCAATCAACAAATGTTTCAGCTTTCCGATTGTCGATCGACAATAGGCAACTATTTTTTATGTCGATTGACATTGGGAGTGGGTTTCAATGTTTTTGTGTTTTTCCCATCGGGATTGGTGAGAGTTTGGAAGTTCATAGTTGAGGTTGGGAAACGCATAGATTGATCCTCAGTTGATGCTCCGGTGGTTCTCCAATTGACCTAAGATTTGAATTCCATCCACCATATTTCTACCTCCCTGTGGACTGATTTGCCTTCTGTTGCCAGGCGGAGATGCTTCGGATGGAGGTTCGGCAGGGCCCTTGCTCGCCAATGCGCAGTGCATGTGTGCACGCGCCAAATGCCAGCGTTGCTTTTCCACATGCTTTAGCACAGGTCATGTGATTCCAGGTTAAGTTGCTCTGGTTTGGCAATCGGTTGAATGCTTTGGCAGTTGGCTGACGAAGCGTTTTGCACATGTATGTTGAAGTTGGTCAAGAGTTGATTGGGACCTCAGGCAGATTGCCAGTCGACTGACATCGTGCAGGGTGGCCTTCAGAGTGTCAGCCCATGGAGAATTGTTTTCACGGCTGCGTATGACACTTCACATGAGCGTGCTTGAGTCAGAACCGGTTTGTTCCTTACAAGTGCATTTGGTAACATAGGAGCAGAACACCGTCAGGACCGAGTCTGTATGCTGAGGCTTTTTAACGCCTGAAGGCTCGGCAGGGTGGGTGTCAGACCTGCTCGCCATTCATGCAGGGCTTTTGCTAGCTCGCATCAACCGTTGTCGTGAGTCTCCTTTGCTACCAGCTACAGAGAGAATGACATCATAATGACATTGTTGCGATCAAATTGAACACAGACTTGCAAACCTATTTCTTTTCCAGTGGCTATATATAGGAGTTGGATGTCATGTGGTACTCGCAGTCATTGGTTGTTTGTTGTGGCAGCTGGAGAGTGATGTAGCTGTTGGCCCACACATAGCGCACGTGCTTTGCGTCCTCCATGAAGCGGAGGGACGTGGTAGAGAAGGACTTTCCAGGCAAGCGTCATTTCGAAGCCAACCATGTACGCGCCATGCGGTTCCCTGTTGACAAACTACTTCGTTACTACCGGGAACTGGACGCATCAGAGCCTTGTTATCCATGCAGATCTACTTTTGCTCTTTTAATTATTTTGGTTCAGTCTAGACATACACTCTTGAAGTACAAGCAGTCTTTCACATGTAAGGTGTGGCCGTCTGCCAACCGCTTAGCTAGGGAGGTGGAGGTTGTCCTGGCGGAGATGGGGATTGACCCTGATGGACGCCAAGATCGAAGAGTCACACGGGCTGAGACACCTGCACTGCGGAGGATGAGCGCGCGTTTCTTTTGATGAATGTCTCGTAATTCAGTCTAATTTGTGCTTTTAGACACAGTCACCCCTGTGTAGGGACTGTGTTTGCGCAGACCTTCTGGCAATGAGAACCAAAACTGAGTTGAATAATTTCATATTCTTGCCACACGCTATCACTTCATTCCCATCACTATACCCCCAACTGGGCCCTGCAAGCATCGCTGCAGGCAACTTGGTGTCAGCCCCGCACTGGCAGGGCAGTGCTCGCCACTCAGCAGGGGCAGGGAAGGTCGTGTGGGGGTGCGTGGGAGCAGTGTCCTTGTACTGTAGACTTGTGCTTGCGGGGGCAGATCTGATACATTCTTATTTGTGAGTTGCTGTTTGAAGCCTTCTCAAACTGATTATGTAGGCCGGCCCCTCGTTGGAGTCAAGAACACCCATCGCAAACATCATGCCCAACGTTGGAGTCAAGAAGTGGAACGGCAAACACAAGATGGAGTCGGTTGACATCCTGGCGATGAACGTGCCCCTTGCAAAGCTCAAAACATACCTGCGCGAGCTGCAGGCTTCCACATGGCCATCAGCGCACGTGCTAGCTACAGAGGTTGAGGCGGCAATCTGGTTGCAGGCAGGCAAGCTGCCGCTCTGTGAGATCAAGCCCGAAGAGTACCAGAAGCTCACTCCAGACGATGAGTTGTAGGTGTGTCACTGTTTCACTGGTTCACTGGGCAGCTAAGTGCATCACCTTTGCATGAACTTACACTGCGTGCACTAGCTGGCAGCTGTGAAACAAAGAGCTCAACTCTTTCTGTTTGCTTAGTGTTTTGCTCGTGCAAATGTAACATATCAGTGTCATTGACTGTTCAGACCTTAGTTCTATACATTGTGGTGCAAAGTGCGCTCAATATCCGCTGAATGTCTAGCAGCAGTTGATGTGAGCATACATGTAACATATCACTTTCAGTGGTTTTTCAAACCAATTCAAACCTTGTCATATAATGTGTGCACAGTGCAATCAATATCAGCTGAATGTCAGCAGTCACTTCACCATCTTCCCATGTGCAAACATGCAATCCACATATCTCTTGCGCAGCCACTTAGATGCTTTGGCCTTGAACGACTCTGCCACACGCAGGGCAACAGCCCGCGAGAGCAGGGCACCTTTGCTCGCTCAATGGCAGAGAAGCTTGTGGAAGCGGTTTCATCTCTTCATGCGTTCTTGAAGACCCAAGAAACAATCTTGGCAGCCGATGCTCTGGCAGAAGTGCGCAAGTCGCACAAGAT